TGTGCATGGTCACTCATGCTTTGGTCATCTTTTGAATGGGCTACTAAACTCCGCTGCACTTGGGGTTGCCCTTGAAGAACATCTAGAAGATGCAATTGGTCCAAAATGTGATAGTATTGGGAAATAGGACTGTTTCTTAATTCATGTTGATTCCATTTGCTTCATGAAGTGCACTAGTTCGACTAGTACATTTCAAGGTGCTGTTTCTCACCTATATAGCTCTTAATGGCATGGGGCCAAAATACTTGAAGAACTCCCTGTCTCTACTGCCCCTTCTCTATCCCTATTAATTCTGCTGGAGGGGCATGCTTCAGGTCCTGTCAAATAAAGCAGAGGTCCCCAACCTTTTGGGCACCAGGGACCGGTTCCATGGAGAGAGGTTTTTCCACGGACTGGAGGGGGCATGGTTTTGTGTGCAGCCTGCATCCTGTGGATGGGGCTTTCCTTGTTTGTGCAGCCCGGTTGCTGGCATGCTGTGGCCTGGTACCGGTCCACAGACCAGGGGTTGGGGAGCCTTGAAATAAAGAATGCCATCCTGAAGGACCCAGGAATTGTGTCTTTTCTGTCATGGAACACCTTACCATCAGAGATCAGAATGACTTGAACCTGCTGGCTTTTCATAAAGTGCTTAAGATCAGGAACTTGAATCAGACAATTAGTGAAGCTCACGAGGTTTGCTAATAATCTGGGACTTTTACTCCTGGCTGCCATTTTCCCTTTTTATTTTGATTATGTGCAGTATTTTTACAATTATTCATTCTATCGTTATTGAAAGTCTGCTGCCCAGAGTTGCTTTGGTGAGACGAGAGGCCATGTAGATAGAAATAAATAAACAAAAACAAACAAAGAAGTAAATAAATATTGATCGACCTCTTATTATTTCAAATATTCTTACTAGGAATGCTTACTAGGAATACTAGGAATATCTGGGAATGCTTGCTTCAAAGCATTTTTGCTATGTTTTTGTGGCCTTAATTTTCTTTGGGATGTATACTGTATGAAATACATTAGCCACATAAAAACAGTGAGTATGAAATGTGCAATAAACACATTTATTCATTTGTCATCATTTATGTTTATTCGAAGAACCCCAAGTAAGACAAATATAGGGCGAAGTGACCTTTCAGCAGCAAAGACAACTTGTAAAGCATGTTCAGATGAATTGTCCCTCAAACATTTCACTTGCTTTTATTTGCACTTCTATAACAGAGTGAACATTCCTTCTGTACTTGTTGCCTGGTCTACCTCTCTCCCACAGAAGAACTACACACACACACATACAAAACTAATGATCCCAATATTGAGTTCAATTCAAACCCAGACCATCATTATAGAGTTCGGCATCCAAACCTATTCATCTCTAGCTCAACCCTTCAATTACGTGGAATGATCCAAAACTTTGGGCACTAAAACAGCTCTTTATGTTTGAAAGTGACATCTGTGACTAGAAAAATGGTTGAAGTTTGGAGATTTTTCTGGTAAGAGTCCACTTGCTGACATCATGCAAGGAAAGCGCTGATTGGCTGGTGGAAGGTAAAAATAGTGTGCGTATCCCAGTAGGTTGGCCAAGAACAAACAGATGCTCTGTTAAATCTCTGTTCCCTGACTCCTTGGAGACCGATCTGTATCCTGCAGGACTGCAGCTTGGTAAGTGACGGGCAACGATATTGGTTCTTTGTAAGCAATGAGGTTTCTGACACTGCTTAATCCATGCAATTCTCACTTTTTGACTCTGTTTTTAAGGTAATATTTTGCTTTGCACATTACTTCTGTGATTTAAATCAGTGATTTACTGAACCACTATATTTTGCTTGCTTGATTTCTGTTAGACTAATAAGGCTCGGATTTTACACTGTACCGACTATAACACAGAGACATTCTAGTTTCTTTTTCTTAAAAAAATGCTTAGCCGGATTTAATTTAAAATTATTTCTCGCAGGAATTGGGGAGAGGGCATGGTGATGGAATGCCGAGAGAGAGAGAAGGAGAGGATTTTATAGATCAACCTTATTATAACAAAGAAACTTGGTATTTAGTCAATACGCTGTGTTTTTATGGCACTCTCCTGTCTCAGGAATGAGGCAAGTTGTAGTCTTCCCAAATTTAATAAACGCCAACATTCATCATTTGGCACGGTCCATCTGGAGGGCCAAATTTGGCCTTCCCTCCACCAATATCTTTGGTTAATGAATATTCATTAAGTGAATAAACATTCACTTAACAGAATCACAGAGTTGGAAGGGACCTTGGAGATCTTCTAGTCCAACCCCCTGCTCAAGCAGGAAACCCTATATCATGTCAGACAAATGACATATCATGTCAGTCTCTTCTTAAAAACTTCCAGTGTTGGAGCACTCACAACTTCTGGAGGCAGGTTGTTCCACTGGTTAATTGTTCTAACTATCAGAAAAGTTCTCCTTAGTTCTAGGATGGTTCTTTGATTTGACCCTTCCTAGTTTTGGGATAGCCTCCAGGGTGCCCCTTTTTATGTACACTTGCTAGTTCTCTATAATGCAGATAGAGATGAACCTAATACATTTCATAGTCCACAAAATTATTGTTCAATTGTTCCTCAGTCATGTAATTATTAAAGGGCCTAAGCAACACTATTTGTCTGCTACACAAAGATAATACACATAACATGGAATTTGTAGCTTACTGTTCGTATTGTAGAAACAAAAGTATAAATATGGATGTCACCAATTAAATATATTGCTTATGGTAGACCTTGGAATATTTTCTAGAAGGGCTGAATATATGTAAAACTAATCCTTGTAGTTACTTATACATGTTCATAATCCTTTCTAAACTATGCTTCACTGAATTTTGTTTCTTTCAACTGGTGGTTTAAATACAAATTGTAACAAAGCACATTAGGTATGGATTAACATGGCATTCTTTTAACAAGGATCATTCTATTTACTGACACTTTCAATTAAATAAAGCTGTCATCTTCTGTCAGTTTTCCAAACTTGGAAGTTTGTTTTAAGGAGTGTTGTTCAAAGCCACAAACCAGATGAAGCTGGTGAAATTGTTCCAGGACAGCTTCCTAGACAAATTCTGAAATTTAATGAATAGTTTTTAGCAACAGAGAAATGATATGCATCTCTTGTGATACTTAAGACTCTGAGGTCTGGAATAGCCTTTCTCAATTTGGAGCTCTGCAGATGTTTTGGTGTCCAACTTTCCAAATGCTGGTTGGAAATAAGCACATCTGGGTGTAATCAAGTTGTGAAAGTCTATTCCACAATTTTAAAAACCTGTTATTTCGTATAAAGCAAAGCTTGGTAGTCACTCTCCAAAAACTTATTCCATAATACCCCCTTAGAAGCAACTAAGCTATCAAAAGCAACATTCCTGCTTTTTTGTTTCCTTGGGTTCAAAGAAACATACCTTTTAGGCAGGGTGGGATTCAGCCGCTTCGCACCACTTCAGCAGAACCGGTAGCTAATTTTTTGTTGCCCAGGTCAGAATGGACTTCCAGAAGTGGCATCCACACAGAGAACCAGTTGTTCATATATTTGAATCCCACCACTGCTTTTAGGTCAGCAAAAGAGTAACTAGCTTTGCTTGTAAAATGATTAAATGCATGCTGGTTGTGCTGAAATTACAACTATGATGACCCAAAACAGATTAGCCAGAAATGCAATGAACATATCAATAAATACATTATTGCAAAAATTTAAGAATTGCTGATAAAAAATGAGCTCAGACTTCATCTTTTTTCCCAATTTTTGAAATCATTGAGATTGCCCTTAGATCCTCGAAGCATGACATGATTATGGAACATTCTAGAGAAGCTGTAATGGTGGCCTTTTGATGCTGTTCAGAGGGATATGCCTGCTCCCTTTGCCCATTCTTTCTGCCACTAAGGGTCCCATGTACTTCCACAACTGGGCAGAAATAAATAAGCATGAAAGAGCTCCAAGCATAAAGTTTTCTATGAATTTCCTCCTCCATTCAAGGCACTGCGACAGCCTGAAAGTTGAGGTAGACATATGGAGGTACACCTGAAAGCAATCATGAGGTGTAAGTGAACATGTCACTTAGAGCGATTGGGACTCTCTTTCCCTCCCATTTTTCTATCCCACAACTCTCTAATTGCCATCGTAGCCAGAATTCATCACATCCAATCATCAAATTGGCTCAGCCAGTGGATGAAGGAGACTCAAAATTCACGAAGTGACATGATTTATTTCTCTCATCCACCATTTTAAATCCAAATAATTTAGTTAGCATGAGTGAGCCATGAAACTCTAGATCTTATAATACATAAACAGCTAGTATAAATCTGAGTATTTCTAAATTCAACTTAGAACATTTCTAAATTTGTGCAAGAATGGACAATTTATTATTAGATTTTTATCCTGCCTTTATAAAACATATCTAATACTCCTGCCTACTATTTTCCCCACAACAACCTTGTGAGGTGGATTGGGCCAAGAGAGAGCGACTGGCTCAAAGTCACCTAGATAGCTTTCATGCCTAAGGGGCAACTACAATTCTCAGTCTCCTGAATTCTAGGCTAGCATATTATCCACTACACCAGGGGTAGGCAACCTTGGCTCTTTTATGACTCATGGACAACTCCCAGAATTCCTGAGCCAGCCATGCTGAGGAGAAATGGAGAGGTTTCCATGCTGAGCCATGCTGGCTCAGGAATTCTGGGAGTTGAAGTCCACGAGTCATAAAAGAGCCAAGGTTGCCTACCCCTGCACTACACCAAACTAACCCTCACTTAAATATAAGTATGGAATGACCAGTGGTAAAAACCTTTCCCTGTCTTTAATTGAAGACCTGTATAATTTACTGATGAAATCAATCGATCATTTGTTCAAATTCCTACAAAAGTAATCAGACCTAACAGATATATTTCTCGTATTATTTGAACAGAATTGTAGAAATTGCCTATCTTTAATATCTTCCAATTTTTTTTTATCTTCCTATTTGGAAATACGTATATTTTCTTTTCCTTTCTTTCTTTTTCAGACACCAGAAAAATGAAGACAGCCCTGCTTTTCCTCTGCATTATAGGAATCACTTGTGCCTTCTCTGTGAGTAAAAATAACAATACTTTATATCGACTAGGATATATTGTATTGTGAATATTCATTTTAATGTCCATTCATTGAGATTGTGTTATTCCTAGTATTATATTATCATTATTTGAGAAGTTTTTCCACAACTTAACAGATTTCAAATCCATTATAATATTTTGATTTAAAAAAATCTATCCATTAATTAGTATTTATCATGCTAAATATAAAATAAATTGTCCCCAAATAATAAGCGATTTTTAGGTTCAGTTCTTTTGGGACAAATTATTGACTTTGTTCTTTTTTTAATTCACCTGTTTATTCACCTATTATCTATTTATGCTTTTATGTATCTTTCGACTTGCTAGCCCTTTGTACATTACAAATAGCCTTCTCTATTTTTGCTTCAATTAGCTTTCATCTCTGACAATTAATGCTATTAATGCTATTAATCTACTAGCTGCAACTGATGATTCTGGATGGGGAATATTTATGTATAAATTCAAATTTCTGAATTGTGGAGGTGAACATTATGTCTGCAGAAAACTGCTTCTATGCATGATGCCTTTGCTGGAGCAATTGGCAATTATCCAGAGTAGGCTTTTGATCTCATAAAGCATTTCTTTATATTATTCATAATTACACCCCAACCGCACAGCTGTACAGTGCCCATTAGTACAAATATATTTAAAAAGCCAGACAGGCTCATAAAGAACTATTTCAAATTAATTTATAGTAATATAAATTCATAAAACAGCCTGTTTTTCATTAAACATTTTGAAGTTTTTGCCCAGCTCCATCTGGTGCACCAATTGTGCCCTTTCCTAGATCAAGGGAATCTTTAAACAACTACATATACCCTGGCAATTTGATGGATTGATTACTACAATGCACTCTATAGGGGGCTGCCCTTAAAGATCTCTCAGAAGCTTCAGCTGGTCCAGACCACAGCAGCACATGGGCAGTGACAGGCACGCCTGGGTGTGCCCATGTAAAACCTCTGCTTCATGAGTTGCACTGGCTGCCAGTTTGCTTCCAAGTGTGATTTAAGATGCTAGTTACTGCTTGTAAAGTCCTACATGGCATAGGGCAGGGGTCTTCAAACTTGGCCCTTTTATGACTTGTGGACACGCTAGCTAAGGAATTCTGGGAGTTGAAGTCCACAAGTCATAAAAGGGCCAAGTTTGAAGACCCCTGGCATAGGGCATTGTTAATTGGGGGGAATCACCTGTCACTCATAGTAGCTGCCTGGCTGATTTTATCTAGCAGAGTTGACATGTTCCAAGTTCCACTGAGTGAACAATACCACCTATGGAGAGTTTTGAAGTATTTCTTCTCTATAGCAATACCTGTGTAGCCTCTGGAATGAGGTTCCTCCCAATATTAGAACAGCCCCCCCCCCTGTCCTGGGTATTTTGAAGGGTCATGAAGATGTGGCTCTTTGCTGAGATGTTTAATGAGGATTATTGGTGCTCATGAAAAACAAACCCAAATGGGAACATTTTCTTTCCTTTCCTTATTCCCATTTGGGTTTGTTTTGTCTGCTACTGTATTGTACTCTTTTGATTTATGTTGTTTTTTTGTATTTTGTGTTGCTCCTTGTTTTTAAATGTCTTTATCGATTTGTAAAACACCCAGCATTCCTGGGAGTCGAGCAGCATACAGATTTAATTTAGTTTTAATTTTAAAATGTTTACTATTGTTATTATTATTATTTTTTATCATCAAATAAGCACAGCACACTGATAGGATGATGGCTATGGAATTTTTCGCCCTGTCAATCTAAACATGAATCATCAACTTGATATGTGTGCTTGCAAAGAGCCTAATATTGTATTAGGAAACTTGACTCATAAATATGTATTCATTGTAGAACACTTGTAATAAAACTCACACCTATAAATGCCAGTATTCATTTGGCCAAAATTCTACCCACACACAGGAGGAAAATATCAGCATATTTAAGGTAACTTGGAGATTTGCAGAGCTATGAAAAACCTTGGAGATAAGTAGGTAAAAAGAGAAAGAAGAAAATAGAAACCTAAACCACCCAATGTGAGCTCAGTTTGGTCACAATAGGCATCAAGGTGTCCACATGGTATGGTCAAAGTTCAAGACCATGGCTGCAACGGTGTGATCAAAGTCTAACTTTTTCAAAATACATTGCACA